TAAAAGTATAATATAATATCTTCAAGGTTTAGATTTCTAATAATATTGGTATATCCCGATAGGATCCGGGTATAGGATACCCCGCTACACTGACGATCGAAGAAGATATATCTACAACGAATAAAACCGCATTAAAGTAACCTATTTATTTCTTACAGGCTTAATGCAAATAAAAATACTTTTAGTTAATTAAGTTACACTATAGTGGATAATACTTATGGATGATTTCGTTTTCAACCAATACATTTTTGAAATAAAATTTAAAAAATCGGAGTTGAATGCAGCCTGTAGGAAGTTAGGAAGTTCTATTTTTTTGATTAAAAAAAAAAATAGTTTTAAAAACCCAACCATTCCTGTAAAATACTTTTTTTTTAATGCAATACCTCCACCAGTTATTACCATCATAAAATACGTCATTAAGATGATTATTCATTACCTTTGTGGAACAATTTTAGGACAGCTTTTTAATGAATGTTACAATATTAGTTAACCCAAACCATAGAATTTGAATCAATAATCCGATTGCAAACAATAATATTGTTAATGTAACTATACCCATAGATACTTAATATAATGTATCATATAAAATGTAAAATGTATCATGTTTTATAATTTGAAGCAACAATATTCTCGTGTTTGATCATTAATTATTTTTATAGAGAAACGCCTAATCAAAATGATTGTTCTTATCATTGCACTATGCGCGTTTGTTACTGAAATTAACATTTTAAATTTAACTATTTTATGTTCTATTTAAGTTTAAATGAATTGAAATATTTAAACATCTATTGCTAGTTTTAAGTAACTGAAAAATAAATTCATTAGGACTACGTGTAGGTTTTTAATTAGTAGCACCTATTTATAATATACCTATATGATGGTAAAGGTATTTAAACTGACATGTTGCTTAATATTTACATAAAAACATGTTCGAATTTAATACGAAACTCGTTTTAGTTTTAAGTTATTCTCGTGTTGACACAATACTACTAGGTATAGACATTATAATTATTGAATAAACTATTTACATTAATATTATTGTAATGTACTATTGATGGTTAAATAAAAGAATTTTCATTTTATTGTATTTCTGTCTTCTGTGTTGACAATAGTTATTGGTGTAGAGAATAAAATTCCCCCTCCACGTACTATTAAAATGGAAAGTTTATTTATATTAATTCTTCATGAATTTAAACATAATTTAAAAGTTACATGTTATAATGAAATTTTCCGTCTCGTTAGCAGGTTTAACGTGGCCTTGTGAGAAAAATGTTTACTAGTATGTATKTCTTCTCGAAATTAATACGTGATTATTTGAACCACAAACTTCTACCRGCATATTTAAAATTACGTACAACAGTTATCTGAATAAAATTAATCAAAATATCAAAATATGTGAAGTAAATGTTAAAACACGATCACACGTATAAACATAACGAATTATGATATTATCAGTATAATTACAATTATAATGGGCTTATATTAATCATGTGCTTTGTTATAGAAATATCTTATATAATATTAAATACATCAATCTATAGTATCATCGTACGCATAAATGTGTGAARATATAAATGAAACATTGAATATGCATTATTATTGTTTATTAGAATAATRATTTCATTATCTATCCAATAAACTGTATAAATATCTATATAAGATCGTTAAAAATCCAATTGTTCGTATTATGTTTAATGCCTAGTAATTAAGAAAACTATAACTTCGCAATTAATTATAATATTAAAAATCAGRTATAGGATGTGTTATTATCAATCGCAAAAATCAAATGGTTTCGCTTAATTATTTCAATATCAAAGGTCAAATGAATACCTAATAATCTATGCACCTAAAACCTACATATTATAGTAAACAAGACTATAGGTATGAATGATGAAAACAAAATATTGTCAGAGGTCAATGTCTTTTCCACATGGCCTCAATTTATTATAAATTTATAAGATTTACATTACCTATTTCGTACACAAATCGGTACATTTTGTGTATATTTACGAGTATCTTCTTATAGTACGGTAGATACATTAACACGTACATATTATAATATAATAATAATAATAAAAAGAGTAATTAATTGTCTTGATGAACTGATGTGTTCATAAAAATACATTTATCTTTTTCAACTATATATTTGTTGTATTATTGATACAAACTATTTTAAATCTATTAAGATGTACGATTGGTTATGATTTATGACAAATTTGTAAGTTCATTAGTGTTTTATTTATATGAATAAATTAAAATGTATTTTCTATTTAGCTGAGAGTTATTATTTAAATAGGTAAATACTAAAATACATTAATTGTAAGTGTTTAAGGAATCGTTGAGGTCCATTTAAAATACCTGCAGTGGGTACAATAATATGACTTTATTTTTAAAAAGTTATAAATATTGTAAAACGTTCTATATTTTTTAATAATTTATGATGAAAGACGAAAAATAAAATAATTAATACATAGAAAATAGTTGTAGGTATGTCGAATTTTGTTACWAATTTGACCGTTTTCAAATGTTAAGWAATAAAAAGTAATATATATTTGTGTYGCTTAAATTATTTAAATATTAATCGTGTTGTTATCTATATTTAGGTGTTGAAATGTCCGTTTATCCGATACTGTTGCACGCAGGAGCGTGCTTGTGGTATGTTTTCTTTTGGAACAACTTTTTAAGCAATGGCAGTCATCAAAAAGAGAGTGACTGGGATCCAAAGTACCGAGACATACATGAAATGGGAACTAGGTTTCTCACCAATTGGAATCTAGTAAATACATTAATTATAGTTTGACTTTTATGGATAATATATTTTTATTATTGTAAATATATTAAGAGTCGGCAACGTTTTTGAAAGAGCCATTTTGTCTAAAATTTAACAAAATCATGATGTTCAATGAGCCTCATTGGCTTTTTGTAATCATCATTATTTTTTATACGTGCCATTATTGGTGTAGGTAAAATTATAACCTATTTTATAAATGAAAATTAAAGTTTTATAAAGAAATCTTAAAATTATTATGAATTGAATTACTAAAATGTTTATAAAAATATTATCAAATTTAATCAGAAATAAAGTTTATTTAATTTTTATAATATAATATAAAATTTATATTATAAAGAACGTAAATATTTTGAATATCATTCGAAGAAAAGTGATWATTTTGTAATTAAAATTCTATGTGAAGAAAAAAAATCTTGATGTTGATGCGTATCCTAAACAGTCGCTGGTTGMCCACTCCTGACATATTATAGGGTATTCCCTCAAAATATACACGTACATTTTCATATAAATACGAAGCTTAATAATGTTTGAAACTTACAGTTTATTCAGACGTTGTTTTTTGGCGGCTGTTTGTTTAACGATTTAATGAAAATATTGAACGGTCCCAACTGGTTGAAATTAGGATCAAAATTTCAAACTCTACTCTCGCTGAGTTTTTCGTCGATATTACTGCCAACTGGAATCGTAAGTTTCATTTTTTAGATTTATTTAGTGTATTAAATTTTAAATATCCATGTCYTATACACGTAAGCAAAATATAATGTGTACCTATCTATTTGTATAACCTAGTCATAACGTAATAATGAATTATTGATAAGTTGAATAATTTCTACACGGATTTGTTATAACAATATT